GTGGCACTGATAGTAATTAGTATTCACAAACCCTTATTAAGATTGAAGCTTTGAGAGAATGCTTGATGATACTTTGTTCCTGTGATGGTATGATGTTTCTGGTCTATTGCGTTCTTTGTTTTATTGTATGTGATGGTCTCTCTGCTTTGTTGTAGGTGATGGTCTTCCTGACACAACATGACATGCTCTCGTGATGGTCTCTTTGCTTTTCTCCGTGACACAACAGGGCATGCTCAGTGACACAACAAGACATGCTCGTGATGGTCTCTTTGCTTTCACCTTACACTTTTCTTTGTACCAACTTGTGTAACAACTTGTGTATAATGTTTCACGTTTCCTTTTTAATTGTACCAACTTGTGTTAGACAACTTGTGCATTCTCTATAAAGTCTCATTCTCACAAAGCATAAAAATCAAACAATTTCAACTTCTCCATCTTCCCGAGCTAACAAAAAGCTATCCAAACAATTTCGAGGCTCTTCAGCAACCTCTCAAATCAAACAATTTGCATTCTCATTCTCATTTTTCACCAAACAAAAGGCTATCCAAAAAATTAAAAAATAATGGCATTTTCTTCTCATGATGATACCTTGGATCAATATTTTGATGAATTTTTTGATCAACAGTTTGATCAAACGTTCGAGGCTTTAACCATTGCTTATGGTGAGCAAGAAGCAAAAAAAGAAGAAAACGACTTTACATCGAAAGAAATCGAGAGGAAGGTAATATACACTTATGGAATGATTATTTCAGCGAAACTCCAACGTATCCGCACAATATTTTCTGACGCCGTTTCAGAATGAACAAGCCATTGTTCATGCACATTGCCAATCGACTCTCGAACGAAGTTCCATTTTTTGCCCAGAAGAGAGATGGTCTCGGAAGGCTTGGTCTCTCTACACTCCAAAAATGTACAGCAGCTATTTGTGTCTTGGCATATGGTACTGCGGCTGATACGGTTGACGAATACCTACGTCTCGCTGAATCCACAAGTCGATCATGTCTGGAAAATTTTGTGGAAGGAATAATATATATTTATTCGGCGATGAGTACCTGAGACGACCAACACCGGCTGACCTTCAACGTCTACTTGACATTGGCGAGCATCGTGGATTTCCCGGGATGATAGGAAGCATCAATTGTATGCATTGGGAGTGGAAGAATCGTCCCACAACTTGGAAAGGACAATATTCACGTGGTTCGGGTAAACCAACAATAGTTTTAGAGGCGGTCGCTTCATATGATCTTTGGATATGACACGCGTTTTTTGGACCTCCAGGTACTTTAAACGATATCAATGTTCTTGATCGCTCACCTGTTTTTGATGACATAATAAAAGGTGAGGCTCCGCAAGTGACTTACTATGTTAATGGACAAGAGTATCATTTGGCTTACTATCTCACCGATGGTATTTATCCGAAATGGGCAACTTTTATCCAATCTATTTCATTTCCACAAGTACCGACTTATGTTTTATTTGCTCAACGTCAAGAAGCTGTCTGAAAAGATGTCGAACGTGCTTTTGGCGTCTTGCAAGCTCGTTTTGCAATTGTTAAAATTCCAGAACTTTTTTGGGATAAAGTCAAGATTGGGAAGACTATGAGAGCATGTATCATACTCCATAATATGATAGTAGAAGACGAACGAGATGGATACACTCAATTTGATGTTTCAGAGTTCCAACACGGAGAAGACACCGGAAGTTCACATGTGGATCTCATGTATTCTACAGATATCCCTTCAAATATCGCTAATATGATGGGTGTTCGAACTAGAATTTGTGATAGACAGATGCATCAACAACTAAAAGATGATTTGGTTGAACATGTATGACTTAAATTTGGACGTGATCAATACGACAACTGAACTCCAGTGCTTCTTTCAAATTATTATCGTTTATTTTACTAAGCTTTGTTTTATGTTTAAAAAAAAACTTATGTTTAAAATGTTATCTTTTAGTATGTTTTATTTAATCAAAGAATTTTAAGTTTATTAAAAAAATGTTTAATTTTTTTAATTTCTTAAGAACCCTAAAATAAGAGCCTTGCATTAGACCTATTAAATCTATGGGTTGCAACCACTCGCCCGAGACCAGCAAATAAAAATCAACAAAACGTTTCTTCGGAACTCACACTGGATTCTCTCATCAATACAAATACACGGACTTGGAATATGCCGGTTATTCGAGCTCTAGTAGATCCCCAGGATGCGAAAATAATAGAAAGCATCCCACTGAGTAGGATACAACCGGAAGATAGGGATGGATGACATTTCACTAAGAACGGAAAATACACAGTTAAGTCATGATATCAAGTTGAAAGAGTGTACCCGGATAGTGGAAGGCTGACAGTGATTCAGGGACCTACAATGGATGCTTTGAAAGCGTTTTGCTGGAAGGTAAGGTGTCCTTCAAAGATAAAAAATTTCTTATGGCAATTGCTATCGGGGTGTATTGCCGTTAAGAAAAATCTACAGGAAAGAGGGATAAATGGTGATATATGCTGTGACAGATGTGGTGCTGCAGAAGAATCGGTCAACCATGTGTTCTTTGAATGTCCACCAGCACGGCAAGTTTGGAAATTGTCAAAGATCCCTTTGAACCCGATAACTTTCCCTACAGAGTTCCTGTTTACTAATATGGACCATTTATTTTGGAGGGTTATTCCTAAGATGGACGATCACCATTTCGCATGGATACTTTGGTACATTTGGAAAGGGAGAAATAGAAAATGTTTTAGTAATTTGGATGTTGATCAGAAGGACACACTTTCATTGGCGGAGACAGAGTCCACTCTCTGGGAGGAGGCTCAAATAAAAGTAGCTCAGGATGAAAATCAGTTAGGGGTTCTCGCAGCAATACCGCCCATATCAGGGCGTTGGTGTTTTATTGATGGTTCTTGGAAAGACAAAGATATTTTTGATGGACATGGTTGGTATAGCACCCTCGAAGGTTTTGTGGGTTTAATGGGCGCAAGAAATGTTAGAGCGAGCCTCTCACCTCTACATTCGGAGGTGGAAGCACTTATCTGGGCGATGGAGAGTATGAGGAATTTGCGTCAATATTATGTTACGTTTGCAACAGATTGTTCTCAATTGGTGAAGATGGTTTCGGAACCAGACGAATGGCCAGCCTTTACAAATTATTTGGAAGATATCAAGACGCTTCAAGGGAGTTTCCACAGCTCGGCAATCATCCATATACCAAGAACACTGAATTCAAGGGCGGTTAGTCTAGCACATAGTGCGAGGAACAATCGTCTTTCGTTGTTCACATGGATACAAAGCTACCAATTTGGTTCGCAGAGTCTATATGAGTTTGTGTTGTCGATGTCAAAAAAAAAAATCTATGGTTGTTTATTTTATCTCTTAAATCACTTTTTCTATTAAAAACCATTAGAAAATAAATAAGCATTCCTAATAAGTAACTATGCATTAAAGGTGCTCTAAGGGGTGGGTTTTAGTTTTTTGCGGGGTCCACACCCGTTAAGAACCCCGTAAGAACCCTGATTGCACATGCTCTAAGATTCATCGTTTAACATACTCTAATTAGGGTTTGACTGGTTCTCCCGCTATCACCCGTAAACACAGTTTTTGCGGTTCGTATGCAACAATTACAAAAAACGTTATAAATTGCTTCAAATTGCTCTAAATCTCTAAATTTAAAACCTGATTACAGCTAGAATTTGCGGTTGCGGACAATCGCGGGAGAATAAAAAATATTTTTTTCCAGAAAACTATATAAATATAAAAATAAAATATTTAATTAAAATTTTAAATTAAAATAAATGAAATACCAAATTATTTATATTTTAAAATTTCCAAAAAATATTTTCTTTAATTTTTAAAAAATTTAATAGTAGAGTTTTATCAATATTTTTATATTTATTATAAAAATATGTTTTTAATATTTTGATAATTATATAAAATATAAATATTATTAATTTATTATTTAACCGCTGTTGTATTTGATAATAAACCAGTTATAAGTGTCTCGCAAACGCAACAATTTTTAACCGTTGAACCATTCATCTAAATCTCTTACTATCGATTAAAATCACAATCTCTCACATCCGCAAACACCCGTAGCACAACCTCGTATAGTCAGTTGTGTCTTGGCTAGATTCTTTATATCATCAAAAAATAAAAAAATAAAAAATAAAAATAAATTGGCTATTAGCAACGGATAACATCGGATTTAATTTCTGTTTTTCTTAACTAATATCAAACAAATATTAAAACACGTTTACGAAAAGCTCTTTACAACAAAATATACGAAAGCACTAAGAAAATCAAAATGTATGCTCTAAACTGCTACATATTTGTTAAATTTCCCTGGAGTGATGTTATACATATATGCCTATGCATGTGCCCAGCCCAGTTAACATTTGACGGTGGATAAAGCATTTTAGTTTTGAATGCTGATCGAGATACAGTGTTTTAGTCTATATTTTCGTTTGGTGCTCGTGGACCAAAATATATTTGTTTCTTTTTTCTCTCATAACAATTGGGGAATAAATTCGTTAGATGGAAATGAAGTTCGAAAAACTAGTGCTAGGGAGGAAATACCTTAATTAACACGTACGTCCTTTTGTTGTATACAGTTGACCATCTCTTTAGTAAGTTCATTGTTGAATATTCCATAGAGCTTTTTGTTCTATAAAGTTGACCATCTCACTTAGCAAAAAAAAAAAGTTGGCCAACTCTTTGGTACGTTCATCCTTGATTATTCCATACATACCTCTCTTTTCATTTGATTTATCCAAACCCATATCCATTTGTCAGTGTCACTAAAATGATAAGAGGTTGACACACGAATATCGCAGATGTCAATTTTCAGCGACCACACAAGCGGGGTCTTGACACCGAATCCATATATAAACGAATTGCCCTTATTTTTGATATTTGATCTGTGGTAATCAAATCCATCTCTATATTATTTTAAAATGACTGTTGTGTATATTTCGCTTGATCAACGCAAGTCTAATAGGAATACATGTTATATAACCAATACAACATATGATTTATTAATTCAAACGACACCAATACAACATGTGATCTATTAATTCAAACGACAACCAACACAACAGTATAACAGCACCCCAATGAAAGAGAACAAAATAAAAATAACTGTGAAGTTTAGAGTTGTAGGAATCACATACACACATACGTAGATAAACACACCGAGACAATAATACATAATTTATATTACATATATTATCTTGTCCATCCAAACAAGAAGATCTATATGTTGACATGAAGTGTTGGTTGTATAATTATAATCTTGATTAGCATTGGAAGCCAGGGGGAACCTTTTTGCTACAAACATTGAGAAGCAGGCTGAGTGAGATAGGGATGTTGAGGTTGATCCCAAGGATGTTAGCCTTGAGCGCGGTGCAGAGACAAGCCGCGGCTTCAAGATCAGCGAGTCCTTGGATGAGGGTGCAACATGGCTTCACCGGTGGCTTACCAAGGGTGATGTTGAGTAGACCGCTAAGCACGTTGGCGCAGACTCCTAGTTTAAGGGCGTCTCTAGGGCATCTGGCTGTGACAGGGCTAGGGGTTGGTTTGGGTTTCGGGTTAGGTTTTGGCATATGAGAAGGGGGAGGTTTTGGCTTGGGAGAGGGGGGAGGTTTTGGCTTGGGAGAAGGGCAACCGCAGTTACCGCAGGCAGAGATTATTGTGCAGAAAAGGATGTTCAGAATCAAGAAAATGGAGAAAGAGCTTGTAGTTTTTGAAGCCATTTTTGCTTAGAGACAAGATAATTTGTTGTGTGAACTGGAATGAGGAGAAAATGGAGGGTTCGAGTGGCTTTTATAGTAGCTTGAATGATGGGCCGAGATGTTTTATGACCTCATATATATGATTTTTATCAGAATATATGGAAGTTCTGAATCTTTGGTTGTATACTTCTTTTGGATTACATATAAAATAAGGTTTTGATTAAAAAAAGGTTTTGATTATATTAGGGTGCGTTGTGGAAGTAGATGTGGAATCTGCCATGTAATTTCTTTAGTATGAAGAAACATGTTTTTAGAATAGTAGTAAAGAAAAAAGTTTAGGATTCAGATTATGCTCTCATAATATGCGATAATTTGAATAGTTTTATTCTCTTATTCATATAGCAGTAATTTGGTTTTTCGTATTTATACATCGAATATATTCTAATCTGATAAGGATTATAAATTTAATACATCATTATGAATCTAGTTTGAAAGAGTTATCTCAATATTCTTAAACATAACGCGTGGATTCTCGAATCTGGATCAGACAAGTGTTAAGATAGATGGGCTAAAAACTCTAAAACCAATTGGTAATAAGCGTAGTGACTCATCTATCTTATATATTGTTTAGGATCTCTTCCAATTATCGGATTGAGACATTTGTCTTTTATACATTCCTTCGCGATGATGGTTCTTTAAACGTCAATCTCGAAATGTTTGGACAAGGAGATCGATGGGTCGACTTTGGACTAGATCAATGTGGATCAGGTTGGATTGCATGGATCATGGACTCTAATACCATATTAAGGTAGATACACTTCTAACCTAAACTAATTGGTGATAAGTGAAGTGACTCATCTATCTTATATACTGTTTAGAATCTCTTCCAACTACCGATGTAAGATCTTTGTCCCTAATAACAAAATCTCATTTAAGCAGTTTTTTTTGGGTCAAAACCCATTATAAAAGATCAAAAGGTGTGGTCGAGTCAAGATCTCTATTAAACTGTTAAACTAATAACATTTGCATTATTGTTCTTTCTCAAAAACAACTATTTGCATGATGAGCGGACTTAGAAACTTAATTAGCTGGGGACACACCCATTATATTAATTTTAGGGTTGATGATATTCCATAAGCTTTATAAGAATTAAGGATTCTCTTTAATGGTCGAGTCAAGATCTCTTTTAAGCTGTTAAACCAATAACATTTGCATTATTGTTCTTTCTCAAAAAACAACCGTTTGCATGATGAGCGGACTTAGAAACTTAATTAGCTGGGGACACACCCATTATATTAATTTTAGGGTTGATAACATTCCATAAGTGATGGAGAGGCGGAAGCTATAAGCGTTAGGGTTCAAGAGTTTGAAGCTTAAACCGATAACTTGTGATCGAAGGTAACTGAAAACGAATTGAAAAAGGCGCAAATACTCTCCGCAGTGCTTTAAGAAGCTCTTAAGAAAACTCAAAGTATATATTAATCAAGCATGCTTTACAAACAACTCTTAGCTCTCTTTATATAGTAGCTAAGTAACTAGAATCCCTAAGGAATCGTGATTCCTTTTCTAAATAGAAAACATAAAACAAAAAGGAAAACTAAACATAAGTAGGAAAAGGAAAAGGTTTAAACCGACATTGGTTTGAGATCAACATTGATGCCAAGCGATGCTACATCAGGTCCCTCCGGGTTGGAAGGATTCGACCACGAATCAGCAGGGACATTGTCACAGTGAAAACGCGAGAGATGCTTGACATTAAAGACGTCTGACGTTCGAAGAGTGGATGGGAGCTCAACACGGTACGCATTTGCATTTATGCGCTCAAGAATCTTCACTGGGCTGATCTTCTTTGACTTTAGTTTGTTATACTGGCGAAGAGGAAGGCGTTCCTTTGTGAGATAAACCCAAACGAGATCTCCCGGAGCAATAATGACTTCATGGCGTTTTGTTTCAGCTGCTTGTTTGTACTTGATCGCTGAGGCTTCGAGGTTCTGTTTTGTAATTTGGTGCAGGGCCTGCAAATCAGTGATGAAATCAACAGCCTCACCATGATGACGCGTCTTATCCGGTGCCGTGGTCAGATCCAGGGCACAACGCGGAAAGGAGAGTAACCCGAACTACGGTTAAGGGCATGGTTATGAGAAAATCCCAGGATTTAATATTATCGCCGACCAAGCATCGAAGAAAGTTCCCAAGTGATCGATTAACTACCTCGTTTGGCCATCCGTTTGTGGATGATAAGTGGTACTCATATTTAAAGACGTACCGAGAAGTTTCCACAAAGAACGCCAAAGTGGCTGAGAAAACGCGTATCACGATCGGAGGCTATAGACGAAGGCAACCCATGGAGCCGATAGACTTCACGGAAATATAGAATGGCCACCTGAACCGCATCCGTTGTTTGCTTGCAAGCTATGAAATGAACCATTTTAGAAAATCTGTCGACGACAACGAAGATAGAATCGTGACCCCTCTGAGTGCGAGGTAAACCGAGGACAAAGTCCATACTAACGTCCGTCCATGGTTGCATTGGAATCGGGAGAGGAATGTATAAGCCTGCATTGGTGGACTTTCCTTTGGCTTGTTGACAAACGCGACAACGTTCCACGAAACGCTGTACGTCACATCGCAAGTTAGGCCAGAAATATGATTGCGTTATCAGTTGCAGAGTTCGGTTACGCCTCACATGACCTTCATTGTGAAGTTCTGCCATGATTTGAAGTCTAAAACTACAATCAGGGACACACTACCGAAGATCTCGGAACAGAAATCTATCTTGAATTGAATAATCACCACCCGGATTGCTCGACGTATCCGCGAATTTACGCGCAAAAAAAGGATCTGTCACATAAAGATCTGCAAAAGATGCAAAACCCGCCACCGTGTTGTGCGTTGTAGTGACTAAAGTATGACGTCTACTAAGAGCATCAGCAACCTTATTAGTCTTGCCCGATTGATGTCGAATGGAGAAAGTGAATTGCTGCAAATATGCAATCCATCCAGCATGTCGAGCTGACACCTTGCTTTGACTGTCCAAATGCCTTAAGGCATCATGATCAGTAAATAGGATAAAATCGCGGTGTATGAGATAATGGGGCCAGTGTTTGATAGCTTGAACAATGTCATAGAATTCGACGTCGTAAGTGCTATAACGACCTCTTGGCCCGGACAATTTCTCACTGTAAAAAGCAACAGGTCTATTTTTTTGACTTAAAACTGCGCCGATACCAAGTTTTGATGCATCGCAATGGAGCTCGAAGGTGATGGAGAAGTCGGGGAGAACTAGGATAAGCCCTGAAGTCAACTTGTCTTTGATAATATCAACGGCGTGCACGGCTTCATCAGTCCACGTAAATTTCTCTTCGCGCATACAATTAGTTATTGGCGTCATAATAGAGCTGAAGTGGTGAACAAATCTTCGGTAAAAGGAGGCGAGACCATGGAAGCTACGGACTTCTGTTATTGATGTTGGTGTTGGCCAAGACCTGACGGCGTCAATTTTGGATTGATCCACCGATAATCCTTGATCCGAAACGATGTATCCGAGAAACAATACCTTAGACACACCGAATTCACACTTATGTTGAGCTGCAAAAAGTTTTTCGAGTTGTAGAACCTGGAGAACTTGTCGCAGATGTTGCTCATGTTCGGTCATCGAGGTACTGAAGATGAATATATCATCAAAATAGACAACAACAAATCGACCTATGAATGGTGGCAATGCCTGGTTCATGACTCTCATGAATGTACTAGGTGCATTGGATAACCCAAATGGCATCACGAGCCATTCAAAAAGGCCCTCGCAGGTTTTAAAGGCTGTTTTCCACTTATCGCCAGGTCGAATGCGTATCTGGTGGTAACCACTTTTGAGATCAATCTTGGAAAAAAATTTGAACTCCCAATCTGATCCAATAAGTCATCAAGCCTTGGAGTAGGAAATCGATAGTGAATGGTAATCTTATTAATCGCCCGGCTATCAACGCACATCCGCCACGTACCGTCTTTCTTAGGTATTAGGAGTGCGGGTACTGTGCAAGCACTAAGGCTTTCATGAATATGGCCCTTGTGCAAGAGATACTCTACCTGACGTCGAAGTTCTTCGTGCTCTGAGGGACTCATACGGTAGTGCGGTCTGTTGGGGAGTGTGGCACCTGGAACTAAATCAATCTGATGTTGAATATCGCGCAAAGGTGGTAACTCGGTCGGTAGCTCTTTAGGAAAGGCATCTTTGAACTCATCCAAAATTGCAGCTAAGGACGAGTTTGTTTCTGATGCAAGGACGTGGCGTGATATGGCTGGTAAGAGGGAAAATGCGCGCCCTTCCGTTCGCAGCTCAGAGACAAACATTTCATAAGAGCACAAGATGTTGGTGGATGGCGTATTTGTCGAGGATGGAGTTGATGGAGACGGTGCGGGGGTTGATGACAACGGAGGTGCCTGATCTTGCGACGGGAGAAATAAAATCTTATGTGTGTTCCATGTGAATTGATATGTGTTTTCAGCTCTGTTGTTCATGATTTTGCGGTCAAATTCCCATGGACGCCCTAATAAAAGATGACTTATGTCCATTGGCGCGATATCACAATATATGCGATCCGTGTAGTAAGGGCCCATGGAGAAGGAGACTAGCGTTCGTTGGGAGATACGCACCGTGGCACTGTCATTGAGCCAACCTAAAGTGTATGGAGATGGGTGATTTTCACGCAGTAAACCCAACTCGGTAACGGCTTCTTCCGAGATCACGTTCCTGCAACTCCCCGAATCAATTACAAAGCTGCAGACACGGCCTTCGATCGTACAAGTCGAAGGAAAGATGTTGGTGCGCAGCCATTTATCATCGTGTTTTCGCGGAGTGAGACAAGAACGTCGGAGTACCAGCATGGCACCACTATCTCCTGTTGTCGGGTGAACTATCTCATCATCGGTTTCGTCTTCATCTTGTGAGTCATATACTTCTGGCTCGTCTTTTTCCTCTGCTAGAAGACCTCGTCGTGTTGCGTGTGGGCAAGCCGTTTGTCTGTGTTCTGGTTCGCCACAAGAAAAAC